TTTGCTAAGGCAGAGAGGGGCCAAGATGGCAGAACAGCATGGAAGTTCTCTGCTTCTCTCGTCCCTGAAACGCAGCTGGGTCAGCACCAAACCATTTTGCACACCTAGGAAACTGATCTGAGGATTAACACAACACTGTATAACTTGAGCCACAGAACTCAGCAGGGACGCGGCACAGAGAGGTGAACTGGGGGACAGAGAAGCCCTGGAGGGTAGGGAGCTGTATTTGTGGAGAGAGGGCAGAAAAACGGGGGAGAGTACAGGAAAAGCACTCCCCCCAAAAGTAGCTGGAGAGGAAGAGAAAGAGGGGCAACACCCACAAGTGCCTGAAGAAGAAAGGGAGAAAGGTGAGGGTTTCAATACCAGTAGGACTCCATAAACAGGGGAGAGCAGAGTCAGAAATTCCACAGCTCAATACCCAAGGGTGCTCTGGTGGGAAGGGCGAATCCCCAGGAGCGGGCAGCGAGGTCCTTGAGGTCCTTGGGGTCCTTGGGCCACACAGGGAGAAGAGGTTCCCCCTGCTGAGCGGGCACTCGGTAGCCTCCCCACAGGCAAAGGTCCCAGTGGACCAGAGAACAGCCACCTTTACTGGTACTGGAACAAAGACACCAGGGTGTGGTGAAACCTGGTGCCTGCCGTGTGTTGTGGTTTACCATCACCTCTGAACCTCTGCACGAACGTTTCTGGGGCAAGCTGGCACCCGGCCATTGCTCAACGAGAGGGTTGGACCGGGTCCAAGCTGCAGGGTTTTCAGAAGTGAGGGATTGGGAAACACAGCCCCATCTGAGATAAAATTCAGGAGGGAGGTGCCGCCTAGCAGGACAATGGCTTGGATGCGGACAGCGTAGAAGCGGGAAGTGGACGGAAGCCGGAGACAAAGGAGGGGTACCTGATGGCCGGTAGGGTAGAGCACAGAGCTCTGTTGCTAGAGACTGGGAACCTTGGAGAAGCCATTTTCACCTCTCCTGCACACGTGCACACACACGCACGTGCCACACCGATCCACCCCAGTAAGCTAAGCAGTGCCACCTAGTGGAGAACCGAGTTGTTACACCAAGCCCATCCAACTGTGCCAACCAAGCTCAGGCCCCAGA